CCCTCTCCCCAACCGCCATGAGGCTACGGGCTATAATAATCCAGTCATGTCTGAAAGTGCTGGCCCACACCTCGAACCAATGACTGGGTGTGGGGTCGAATACCTCCTCCCAATCATGGACCTCCTCTGAGGCTCTGCTTGTTGATGCCTGTCCTTTCGGCCTGGGCCTTGAGACCCTATCCATCTCGTCATCGCTACTTACAATTACAATCTCCGGAATGTCCTCCCCTGTCTCACTGTCATCTTCTGTGGATCCCTTAGCGTCTTCCCGGCTTCCCTGCCCAGGTTCTTCCTTGTGCTGGTCCTCTGTCCCTTTTTCTTCCCTCCTTTCCTCCCGTTCTTGCTCACTCTCATCCTCTGACTAGGCTGGGAGCACATCGCCCTCTTTTGTAGGTGAGGGTCTACAGGCTCGCATCTTCCTTTTTCCCGTCCTCACAGGGGGCCGAGGTTGCGCTCCTATCACGAGCACTGGTCTGTTTCTGTTTTGCGGCCTCTTTGGTTGGCGCCATGGGTCCTCAACATTGATGTTTGCTTGATTAATATCGTTCTTGTTGTTGGGTGCCATCTTGGTCCGCCTGACTTCTATACCTGAAAGGCAGGACACAAGACGTGAGAAGGCCCCAACCCATTCCCTTGTGACACTCATCCCAGGCTCTGCCCACACGTGTCCCCGAATCCCGGTTGCTCCCATGGAAGCAGAAAGGCATGAAGAAGAAAAAAAAGGAGAAACAGCCGACCACCTCGCCCCCTTTTCCCAACGCCCCTCCAATGCCATGTCTTATGGTACAATGTCCCATCCCCCATTGCTCATCCCAGTATCCCACAAAAACTATGATACAGAAACCCCCCGCCGAATCGCACGTTTTTCCATGCGACTCGTGCACACCCAGGTCGTCAAAAGGAAAGAAGCACACCAGAAACAAAAGACAACAACCAGAAGCACAAGCGATAAGTAGGCCTTTTGCCACTGTCCTGAGCGGCCTTAGTCTTCCGCCTCCTTATCCTGGGCTTCGTGCAGCCATTGTTCCATTGGATCCCTAGTGAGAAACCTAACCAGTCGTTGCGCAGGGACTGGCCCCCTTATAGTGATCCCATCCAGGTTCTCAATCTCAAACGTGCTCACACCCAATTTTCTTGCAATACGGTAAGGTCCCTTGAATCGCCGCCCCAACTGGCGTGACCATGTAGTTTCTAGTGCCGAATTTCTAACTAGGACCATCTCCCCGACCTGCAGAGGCTCCTTCCGGATGTTCTTCAACTGGTCCCACCTGGTTTTGTCCTTCATGCGACTGTCTAGTACCTTGTGAGCTATTTCTTCCAAGGCTTCCTCGTTCCTAGCCGCTTGTTTACACCTTGCCTCAATCAATTGTTCCGTAGTCAGATGAGGGTCATCTTCCAATTTGTTCCAGTTGGGTACTAGGGCCTCTACCGGAAAGTCAATCTCCCTGCCATACCATAGCTCTGCCGGGATGCATCCCGTCGTCCTTTTTGGTGTCATATTGTCGGCAAATACCGCGTGACTGAGATAGTCCGGCCAGTTCCCAAGGTCATCTGCTGCCAACTTTGCAATCGTGTTCTTAAGCGTTTGGTGCCCTCGCTCGACTGGCGCGTTGGCCTCAGGGTGGTATGGTTCTGTCAATTTGATCGGTACGCCAAGCCTCTTGCAGGTATTCAGGACGTCCTGGTTCACAAACTTAGTCCCGTTGTCGGCTATGAATCTCCTGATGAACGGGTGCCTCAGATAAAAGTCCTCCACCCAGTCTGCAACTGCAAACCCAGTTTTCTTCTTGAGCGCGTTTGCCTCGATAAACCCACTAAGGTTATCCCTTGCGTCAAGTATGTACCTGTACCCTTTTCTGGAAACCGGCATGACTGCCAGGTCGAGATGTACCATATGCCCTGGCCCCAGCACGCGGGACCGTGCTTCGGTCTTGGCAGATTTTGCAGGTCTGGCAATACATGGCTACCATCGATGCCATTCCCGACCAATAATAGAGCGGCGTTATCTTGGCTAGGGTCCCTTTGGATGAGCGATGGCCACCGGCCAATCCGTCATGCATGGCCTGAATAATGTCGAGTTGTCGCATCCTTCCACAGACTACTCTCCTGGGCGTCAGGCCTTCCTCCTTTCGGAATAGGTGCCCCCTTCTAAGCACATACCTATCCGCTTCCTCCCTAGCTTTAGGACTAACCTCGTGGGGTTCCTTGTTTCCCACCAGTAGCAACCCAATTTCTCTGAACAAACCTTCATATGACTTGATGAGGAAGAACTGCTCTTCTTCCTGAGTACCCGTCTGATTATTATCCACCTAATAGGCTTGATAGTGCTGCATCTCCAGCTTCTGAGACTCCATCATGCTCGTAACCCTTCTCCAGCCTCCCTCAATGGCTAGTGCGATTTGTTCATCCCGGGGCTTCACAACACTGCCCCAGGCGTCCTTCTCTTCCATCCTTCCAACTCTGGTGACCGTTCCTTCCCTTAACTCGGCAACCACTGCCGGAGGCCCCTTTTCGAGTGCTTTGATCAATAGCTCCCTAGTTGTGCAAGTGGTTCCGGCCATCTCGCTGTCTACTACCAGCGTCCCGCCCTCGTAGTCGAGGAACGCGTCGATCGGCTCTGCCTCTTCTAGCCCTTCGGGTGTGAGAGCCACCCTGCTCAGTCCGTCTGCTTGATTCCTAAGGCCGGCTATGCGCTCAATCTTATAATCGAACTGCCAGATAAATCCTACCCATCTTCCAACCGTCGGGTCTATAGGCTTATAGTTCTTCAGGGCCCCGACGACATTGGTTGGGTCTATCCTCAGGATAAACCTCCTCCCGAAGAGGTAAGCCTGAAAGGTCTTGAGGCAATGGAGTATCGCAAGTACCTCCTTCTTGAACTGAGAGTAGCGCCGCTCTGCCGAATTGAGCGTCCTACTCTCAAATCTGATCGGTCGCTCTCTACCATCTTCGCCTTTTTGAATTAGCACC